GTTTGCAATAACAACGTAAACATGTGTATGTCCATCGTTTTTACATCACTAAAATTGATTGAAGCGGTTAGACATGCGTGTTAAAACTGACTCATTATAAACATCTAGAATATATTCTACCTCACATAGAATAGGTCATTAATTAACCAAGCTAAATTGGGCAACCTTGAGAATAAAGTGAAAAAGACAAACACATTCTAGACTAAATCAGGCAGAACATAGAGCCGCTCAAATCTGCCCACCGACCGAGTGGGTCGACCCGCGGGATTACGTTAAGTGATGAAGGTCAAAGACACAATCCTCAGATCGATCTGTGAACTGACCAGTGACCTGATCAGAGCAGTCAAGACCCATCAGCTCGCGTTGACGCAGATCTGAGCTGCTTCTGACGTAAGCTGCAGCCTATAACGGCTGGCAGATTCATTTGTACATTACAGAGCAGGTGTCCAACGGAGGCATCTTCCATCACCAAAAAAACAAGTCTCAGATGGGGCCAGCAATGAACAATATGTAAATTACATTTGTATGGTTTATATACATATGATAAACTTTAATTAACGATATCATGTTGGATAAAAATATAATATTATGATTTTTTATATTATTTGTTACATTATTTGTTACATTATTTGTGTATCCTTGCTATCAAAACAAACAAACGTGTCAATACTACTGAACTACTCTTATAAACAGACAATGGCAGCCAGCTCTGCACATGCGCAAAAACGTGCCATGTAAATACTCTCGCCCCGCGTCCAGTCTCATAGCCTAACATACCTTTATTTACAGCTAGAAGATCCATAATGATAAGCCAAGTAATTCTATAAATAAGAAGACAGTGCTTTGAAGAGGTGTGAATGAATTCAACGTCTTTGGCAGAATGCCGTCCTCTACAGTGACTGCCTTGTAAAAATCTTCATGAAGCTAATTGACCCACTACCCGCCATACTATCGAGCTGAAACTTGGCACTTGGGCACGTTTTCAATGACAACACAGTCTCTCAGACTTTCAGACCCACCCCCAACCCCAATAACTTCTTTTTTTTCCTCCTCTCCGGTTTTTCATGGCGGAGATGAATGAAATAGGATTGGTTCAATGAGTGCTTGTTTTGGTGTGGATAATAACTGTGGAGCAGTTGCTATGTGCTTTGTATTTGCGACGTATTTGGGTTTAAACATATATCTTGAGGCTATTAGGTTTTACATGCACTAAGATTGATCAAGACCATTCGCGTAACAAAAGATTGTAATTACATGAATAATAAATTACGAACACTTACATCAATCCAAAGAAAAATGCTTTTAGAGGATTTATACAAAAGGCCTTATTTATTTAGGGATGTTTAATTACTGTCGTGAATTTATTTTCGGACTTCAGCGCACATTTATCATCGATCTTATTTTAAATTGTATCCTTTGCATACAAGATGTAATGCTAGAAGGGCATCAGACGCTCCAAATAGTGGCTGTTGCTTTAATTCATTGAACAGACCTTGTGAGAACTCAGTTCGTAAAAGAAACTACGGTGCATTTGGAAGAGAAGAAAAACCCCAAACAGAATTTAAAATAACCACAAAAACCGTTGTCCAACAATGACGTTATTGCCGAATAGTCTGACACATGTTTGGTTTATGAGAAAGTAAGTCTGGCAAAGGATCGCGATCAAACGATGAATTTAAAAAAAAATTTGTAACTTTCTTTTTTTTTTTATAATGTGTGCGTTTCATAAATTTTGACAGCGTTTTCCAAATGACGTATAAAGCTGTCTCATCGAGTGACACTGTCGTTCCAAATGACGTACAAAGTGTCCTCGTTTTATAGCCATTCTAATTGTTTTTATAATATAGTAGCTACTATCCTAATGTCTCATTTTTATTTTAGTTAGTTTACATGTTTTTAATAATTGTAAAGCGCTTAGAGCTTTAAGGTAAGCGCTATATAAAAATTCCTAAATAAATAAATAAATAAAGCTGTCTCATCGACTAACTCTGTGTTTCCAAATGACGTATAAGGCTGCCTTAGCGACTGACACTGTTGTTCCAAATGACTTATAAAGGTGTCTTATCGTGTGACACTTTTGTTCCAAATGTCGTATAAAGCTGGTAGACTCAAATAAAAGCCGTGACTAACACTCATAACCCCCCCCCCCCACACCCCACACCCCACCTTCCACACCTATTATCACAACATTCAAATAGTCACCGACTAAAGTGCATCGTTCACACCCCCCACACCCCACACCCCACCTTCCACACCTATTATCACAACATTCAAATAGTCACCGACTAAAGTGCATCGTTCACGTAGAGTCGTCAGCATCAAATTAATAACGCCTCCGATCTACTTCGACAACAAACACCATCCGGCAGGGTGTCCTTGCACCACATCCGGCAGGGTGTCCTTGCACCACATCTGGCAGGGTGTCCTTGCATCACATCCGGCAGGGTGTCCTTGCATCACATCCGGCAGGGTGTCCTGGCTCCACATCTGGCAGGGTGTCCTTGCACCACATCCGGCAGGTTGTCCTTGCACCACATCCGGCAGGGTGTCCTGGCACCACATCCGACAGGGTGTCCTGGCACCACATCTGGCAAGGAAATCCCCAGTAGATAAATGTTAAAGTACTGCTGTCCTTGTGTAGTTCACAGATTCAATGTGTCGAAAGGATTTAATCTCTCAGTATTAGTACGTTTCACGTTTTAAAAAACACAACAGTCTCCAAGTTTAGACTCCAGCGACCTCATCCTGTTTAGTGGAGGTCTTTAATTTTATCTCCCGTTGAAGAGACCCGGAAGTTTATCCGAACCTGATTGTTGACTTGGAGGCCGGTCTCATCTTCTCATTGGGTCGGAGAGGATCAAGTGAATCAAGTTTGTCTGTAATCTCTTTAGCCAAGGGTGGTGCTTTTTATTTTTATTTTTTTTACTGGGCTAACGAACATGAGAATGCTTTCTTCAACAATTTTGAGATTTTAAAATTTAAGACTAAAAAAAAATAAAAAATGCGAGCATTACCTGTGTTTAAAAACAGAGCATTTAACACAAAGGCCGCAGTTATTAAAATAGTTCCTTTTTTTAAAATCATAATTTGTAAAGAAATTCTGTAGCGACAAAACTTTGAGTGGTAAATAATATATTATTATTATTTTATTATATTCTCATTATTTTGTCTTTTTTCAACTTCCTTTTCATTTCTTTTTATTATTTCAGAATGGCAAAAAATGATAAAATCGTAAAAATTATTGCCTGTGAGAAAGTATTTCCTTGACATGGATCAGATAGCTTCCTTTTCTGAAAATTGAACTATATTAACATTATTAAGATTTTCGAAAACATATATTTTTATTTCTATATTATGGTAATTTAAAGTATTTGTTGTTTCCTGGTTTTGCTGTTGTCTGTTGAAAAAAGACCTTTGGTCGAAACGATTTTTCCCCCCTTCAAATCTAAACAAATCGCGTCCCATTATTTGTTTACTTTCCACGGCTGAAACGCAGTCCCTCATACATTTCTCCTTTAGAAAGTAATTAAAGAATATTTTTAAATCAACGAAGTTAGGTTATAAAGCGTGGAATGCGTTCGAGAAAATATAACTTCTTATGTTCCATCAATGAGAAATGTGTTATTTGGAATGTGGATATTTATTTCATAAAAATGTGTTTTATATGTAATCAGGATATTTATTTCATGGAAATGAATCCAACTGGATTCAAAGAGTGTTTCTAGGAAAAAAAACATACACCTGACCCCCACCGACCCCCACCCCCACCCCCTACCCCCACCCCTACCCCCACATCATCCCCCATTTTTGACGGCACCAGTTCAGCCACACGATTTTAAGAATGCAGGAACACATACAACGTCACGGCCTTCAATTCATTTAAAATCGGTTCTACAACTTTTATCTCCTGACTAAGGCTGTTCGTATATACAGTCGCATTCAATTTTCAATCCAACATAAAAAAAAAACAGGGTCCACTTTCTGATAGCGGACTAGCCAGAAATTTTTTTTTTTGTTTTTGTTTTTTTGTTTTTTTTAAAAGCCATCCATCTCGTGTTCCTCTACTCCCTGACCTAGCGCACGCGACGTGCGACTAACAAATGTCCAGTCTCATTGCAGATCAAATGGGTCCAACAGTTTAAACAAAAAAAAATCTGTTCCTGGTCTTGTTGACCTATAAGTATGTCTCAAGTTAATGATCTCGTCTCGCCAACACCGTCCAATCACATGCTTCGACCACTGAGGTGTGAGTCAGTACAAGCAGTTCTATCTGAGACTGACTTCCAACACCGGTTATTTCTTCAATCTCTAAGGTAACCTGGGTAAAAACACTTTGTACTTATAAACACTATGTATTTATAAACGATTTGTTTTGATAAATGCAATCTATTCTGAAACGATATGGATTTATAAAAGCTATGCATTTATATTTTTTTAAAATTTAAATATGCTATGTATTATAAACGCCATGTATTTTTAATCACTATGTATTTGAAAACGCTAAGCTGTTATAAACGCTATGCAATTTTAAACGCTATATAGAAGACTATTTAAATTTCATATGTTCAAAGTTAAGTAATATACACGGGGTAGAGACAAAGCTCAAGAAATTAATACCAAAAAAAAACTAATTAAAGTTTCGTGTCATATCTACATCCCCTTAGTTTTCCTGTCTCTTTATTTTTGTCGTTCGAAGGCCTTTAAGCCTCAACGTCCTCATTCGTGTATTGTCCTCCTAGATATGATCCTCTAACCTTTGTATATTTCTAATCCCTTCAACCTGAACCAAGTGCCCCACCTTTTAGCTCTTAGTTTTTAACAGAAAAAGCCTTGAGAAAATTGTTAGCTTTTTTTTTAATAAATGAAAAGGAGCCCTTAAAAACTGTTAAGTTTTTGTGACGTTTAAACTTAACAACTTTTAGAGGTACGGAAAGTCATTCCTACAACTGACCAACCTTCGCTATAAAATATTCACATATCAATATTCATCCTACTAACTTTCAGTGTAGCCAGCTGCATACCTTTCCCAGAAGCCATCCCGGGTCCAGAAACGACATTAAATTCGGAAGGACACACAGCACCCCGACACACAGGTCTGCTGCTGCCAAGTTGGCCAGGAAGAAGTTCGTCCTTGTCTTCATGCGCGCGCTCTTTGTAGTCACGACCAGGACAAGGGTGTTACCTGCAGGACGATAAATACAAGGTGAAAAACGTGTAAATTTTTTACTTAAAATTGTATGAAATGAAACAATCCCCCCTAACATTTTTCGTATAAATCCTTTACATGCATTAATTTTTTTCTTTTGTCTTACGTGAATATTCTGATGTCCCCACAAGCTTCTACAACGCATATTTATTTCAGCGACTATGAACGAAAAACAAAAGAAAATATTACGCACCAAAAGAACTTACGATATTTTTTTGAACGAATCTCATTTACCCCAGTTATCGAGAATTTTATATCGTCAAATCAGTGTCATCATATTCCCTTCACTTTCCCATTGAAAAACCGGAAAAACAGATTTGGTTTGGGGGGGGGGGGGTTTGGGGCTGAAAATTTGATGGAAAGTTTTGTCATGCCAAGCTTCGGCTTGAAAGGTTGACGGGAAGGGGGTCAATAAGCCGTACGAAGGTTTTGCCATTCATCAAGAAACACTCGAACATAATATCGAGAATTTTATATCGTCAAATCAGTGTCATCATATTCCCTTCACTTTCCCATTGAAAAACCGGAAAAACAGATTTGGTTTGGGGGGGGGGGGTTTGGGGCTGAAAATTTGATGGAAAGTTTTGTCATGCCAAGCTTCAGCTTGAAAGGTTGACGGGAAGTGGGTCAATAAGCCGTACGAAGGTTTTGCCATTCATCCAGAAACACTCGAACATAGTCAAAGTTAATAGAAATGATTTTGAAAAAATGGCCTCAGTGTAGACAACTAGATGTGTTTATTTATTTTCATTGTGAGCAAATCAACCTGAAATGTATTAAAACTATTCCGCTCTAACGTATATACAAATAAACTCAAACGTTAACTTCAGACGTACACTCTCTAACCCAGTGGTTCTCAACCTTTCTTGTGCCGCGACCCCTTAATACAGTTTTTCGTGTCGTGGCGACCCCCCAGCAACAAAATTATTTTCGTTGCTACTTAATAGCTGTAAGGATATATGTTTTCAGATGGTCTTAGGCGACCCCTGGAAAAGGGTCCCCCGACCCCCAAAGGGGTCGCGACCAACAGGTTGAGAACCGCTGCTCTAAGCCAATCGAAGGACATCATGCAAACATCCTCTGAGGGAAGCCAAAGAGCCTCTGCCCACATGCAATCTTTCTGACACAAGGAAAGTCTATTTCTGGACTTCCTTCTTGACGCTTGGGGGATGACATAAGAAAAGTCAAGTTGATTAGCAGAGCCAAGATGGGTTCATTTTTGCCAATTTTTAAACATTTTTTTCCTTCTGTAATCTTCTCTCTTTTTAACTAAAAAAAAGGTCGTGAAATGCGTGGCAAAAATGTATCGACATGACAGGACAATTGTGAGACTTCAAAAACGACAGTAGCTATATGAATGTTTGAGTAAGTTACTAGGTTCACTGAACGGTCATCAGCCTTCCTTCACCCCGACCTAACACAATATCAGAATCAGTTGATAGAAGGCCGCGGACACCAACAGAAATGATCCCATGCTATTTTAGCTCTATGGCACTACCTTAATATGTGTTCCCCTGAACATACTTCTATTTGGTATCGCATTAGATCACTTTATTATTCCATCACTGTTATCTGCTTAGACCAGTTTAGCATGCACACTGCATACCATATCATCTTCTCAATTGACTTAAGCATGCACACTGCTCACAATGTCATCTTCTTTGTTGACTTAAGCATGCACACTGCTCACAATATCATCGTCTCAGTCGACTTAAGCATAGACACTGCTCACAATGTCATCTTCTCAGTTGACTTAAGTATGCACACTGCTCACAATGTCATCCTCTCAGTTGACTTAAGTATGCACACTGCTCACAATGTCATCTTCTCGGATGAATTAAGTATGCACACTGCAAACAATCTTATCTTCTTAGATCATATTAGACTCGCAGTGAAATTTGTGAAACGTTTTTAAAAGAAAAGGTAATTTTAAAAAAAATATTATTTAAAAAACCTTATATTACCCTTCCTTCAAAGCAACCCCCCCCCAACCCCTCACCTGTGATATAACTTGGACATCTTCCATTTTAGTCCCTTTCTAGACTTTTAAGACTTTAAGTCTTGATGGATCCATTAGTAATGTCATAATTATATTGTCAAACTCCAAAAGAGCAAGGGAAGACAACTTTTGAGGTGGTTTATTTTAGGATGCTCTTACTTTCTTCGTTGACTTGTTCTGTAGTTGAATTCTTTCCAAAAAAAAAAAAAAATCTTGTCGATTCTCCGACTCTCAAGTTGTCTTCAGGTCGCTCTTTCCATTCTATCCCCATTAAGTTTGCTCCTAAGAATTTTAAGATTTATCTCTACGACTTGGCGTCGCTGAGAGGATTGTAGCATTTTAAAAATTCCACTTAACGAATTAAGTATTTCGGCCTTTTCGCGATTAGGGGCACATTTAAAACAAAGCGATCAACAAAACTAAAACAAGGAAAGCAACGGGACAAAACATGAACACTTAAACATAGGAAAGAAGTTATATAATTTTAAAAACACATTTAAGATTAGATTACTATACAATCAATCATCCTAAAGATTTTTGAAAAAAAAATTATGATATCTATTCGGTAAGTCTGGTGGAAAAAAATCATTTAACTGGAAAAGGAACTAACGGTGGGTGTGCACAAACGTTTAAAAAAAAAGCAAAGATTTTAAAAAAAAAAAAAAAAAAAAAAAAAAAAAAAAAAAAAAAAAAAAAAAAATAAAAAAAAAAAAAAAAAAATAAAAAAAAAAAAAAAAAAAAAAAAAAAGAAAAAAGAAAAAAGGAATTAATGTTAAGGAATGATTTCATCAGAGTCTAAAAGCAACCTAGTAGACAAAAAAAAACGAAGAGAAAAAGATTATGAGATTGAAGAAGTGTTGTTTGTGCTGTGCAAATTTTGTGGATACAATAAAGGAATTGGTGAGAGGATTTTAGTGAGTGCGACTATTCCCGTTGACTGATGCCACATTATGATACACTGTACATTAGGATATTCTGTTGTCACAAGTTTGTTGGTATGTATGTCTATAGGATATTGTGCTCATGATGAAAACATCAGAAATGTTAGTGCTTGTACATTTGTTGAAGTTGAAGGAGATCCGTTTGTGTTTGTACATTTGTTGAAGGGGAAGGATATACGGCGTTGTTTGGCGAAGATTTTCGAAACTCTTCTCTTAATATTTTAGACAAACGTCTTCTCATGTCTAATGACTTCGTCTTAAAATTGGGTGTGTTACCCTGAAGACAACAAGGAAGTGGGGAAAAAAATTAAGGGTACAAAATATTATTACAGTTTTACAGTATTGCGGGAGGGAAGAGAAGTAGAACAGAAACCATATAGCGCCATCTTCAAAAATCAATTGGGAATCTTATTCAATTAAATATCTCACAGGAGTCTTCTTGGCTAATTGTGTGTCCCTACAAGTTACGCGTCCATCGTTAGCACACATGCCTTTACCCGGTCCCCATCTCACGTCACGAGTTGCACTTAATAAAAACCTACTAGGTTTAAACCAATACTGACAGCCTGCAAAGTTTAAACCAACAACACCAACCCACTAGGCTTGAACCACCAACGCCAACCTGCTAAATTTAAATCAAGAACATCAACCTTTAAGGTTTTAACCAACAACGCCAATACCAGGTTTAAGCCAGCAACGCAAACCTACTTAGTGTTTTAACCAACAGCACCAATCTATTAGGTTTAAACTTACAATGTCAATACTAGGTTTAAGCCAGGAACGAAAACCTGCTAGGTTTTAACTGTTATGTAGACAACGTGTTTACGTCCTATTTCCCCGTGCTGTGAACTCTAGCAGAGACCAAACAAGCTCGAAATCGCATTCAAGGTGTGGCTAGCTAAAAATAGTCTCTTAACCTAAATAAAATTAGCAGTCTGCATCTATCACCCGGAAAAACCTTGAGATCCTGGAAAGGAAAACAATGTGTAAGGCGGTTCCAGATGCATCAGTAGAACAGACTATAGAAAGCAGAGCATTTTTATCACGATATATTTTACTTTACGGGACGACAGACGATACTTATTTTTAGAGTTTGTTATTCTTGCTAAAGTTTTGTTTACTTATATGTGTGAATTGCTATTCATTGTTGTATTTTTTGGCACATTGTCTTGTCATCAACTGTGTACCGGTACAAGCAAAACAGTACACTGTAAGTTAATGATTTTAACTATATTTCTTTTATTTTGTAATTTATTAGTACTGTTAACTTAATAAAACTTATTAATTGTAATTAACCCTGTTTCGAGTATCGTATCTCTCTGGTATTGTTTTTATCATTTGGTATCGTCTTTCGTTATGCAATGTTTTGGGAACGAGCCATACCCTTAAATAGGAGACTAATTTCTCCCTATAGACAGAATTACGTAACATAACCAACAACGCCGAAACTATTAGGTTTAAACCAACAACGCCAACCTGTTCGGTTAAAACAGCAACGACAACCTCCTAGGGTTGAAAGGTTCGGTGCAATCAGCCAGTGACAAGGACGTAGCAACCCTCCTTCCCCATGTCCCCCCAAATCCAACCCACTTTAAAGCCGATTCTTCATGGTCGTCGTCCGTCGTCACGTTGGCATTGTCGTCCTAGCTCACAGGGAGACGTCCTTCATACTGCGACCCGTCGGCGAAGTCACAACTCGGGGCTAAACAAATGCTTTAAACCAGTGGTCCCCAAATGGCGGTCCTTGGACCTTCACCGGTCCGCAGGCCTAACGCTGCCGGTCCCCATAACATAAATATTTATTGTCAAATAGAAATAAAAGTATAAAAATAAATCATGCTCTGGTCCCTGGTAAAATTTCGAAACTTGTTCACCGGTCCGCCAAAGTTAAAAGTTCGGGAACCACTGCTGTAAACAACAGGGGCATTGCGGCAGCGGTTTTTTGTTGGAGGGCTTAGGGGGGGTGGGGGGGACAAAGTTGATAAAAATTTTTGTTTTGTGATGTCTAAGAGTACACACTGGAAATACTAGTATCGA